CCGTGGACCACTCCCCAACACTGTAGCAATGCACAAACTTCTCCTCCTGTGGACCACTCCCCGACTCTGTAGCAATGGAAGTTGGGGCAGGCGGGAGAAGCCTGTGGTGTTCTCCTTAGCCCTATTTTCTGAGTTCAGCTGGCAAAGACCTTTATCTAGAAGCTAGAGGCCAGAAAAACCAGCTAGCTCCATCTTCAGGGGTTAGGGTGGGACAGGAGGAGAGTCACAGGGGTAGGAGTGGGGCAGGGATTTGTCCTCCAGGAGCTGAGACTATTTCCTATCTTTTATTCCATCCACATTGCTGGACTATAGTAAAACTGTGTGTGTGTGTGTGCACGTGTGTGTGTGCTCGAGCGCTCTTTCCCACTCTTTGGTGAGATATGGGTAGGCTTTCAGTCTGGGAGATAAGAGGTGAAAATTTTTTTTAACAGGGTCTCACTGTGTGTAGTCCAGGCTGGCCTGGATCTCACTTTATACACCAGGCTGGCTTTGAATTCACAGAGATCTACCTGGCTCTGCCTCTCAAATGCTGAGATCAAAGACCTCCAAGTACAACACCAATGCACAACCAATCCTGGCCCAAGAGAAAAATGTGTGTGTGTGTGTGTGTGTGTGTATGTGTGTGTGTGAGAGAGAGAGAGAGAGAGAGAGTGTGTGTGTGCACTACAGGTGAATCTAGGACTTAGAAAAGGTGGCAGAGAGTTTCATCCTAGGCAGTCCTAAGATGGTATGTATGATGTCAGTCTTGAGAAGTCTCTGGGCACAGACAAGATTGCAAGAGACTCAAAAGGCACTGCCAAAGTCAGAAGGAATGCTGGGAGAGGCTGGGGCCTTCCTGTGCTCAGTACAAGGAAAACATTCTTTCAGCGCCTCAGTGAATAAGAGGCAAAAGGGATGGCACATGTACTAGGATTCCAGTGATAGGACTAAGCCCCATTTGTGGCAGGTGGAGACTACAAATCCCAGCATGCTTTGTGCTCCAGCTACCTTGCCTGCTGGGAGGTGTAGTAGTGTAATAGATAGCTTGAGGTGGCTTGGTGCCGGACAGAGCGGGTTGGGACAGAGAAGAGTTGGGAGATGAAGTGGAGAAGGTATTCCCTTTTTGTTCCTGCTAATGTTATTGACAAGGAGGGAAGGAAGTTGGGAGGAGTTGTTCCTAGTTTCTAGTGTAAACCAGGAAACCCTAGGGGATGTGAATGGGGGGGAATAGGAAAGGGATTGGGGGTGGGGAAGGGATTTCTGTAGCAGGTGGTAGAAAGATTTCATGTAGCCTATGAATAGATGTGTGTGTCTCTTTGTATCCTTTTCGTGTGTGTGTGTGTGTGTTCTTTGCCTTGTTTTCTCAGGAGATGGGATTTTCTTATAATTCTGGAAAATGATCTGAAGAAAACATTTTGGAAAAAATGTACCCTTCTCCTTCCCCCATTTCTGGGACTTAAATACCTAAAATGAGTCTGGCCATTTTAGGGGTTCCCATTGATGATCTGGGTCAGACTTTTTTCTGTTCTTTGCTCACCCACGTCTACTCTTTGGTAGTGGTATGTTGGAGGAACCCTAAAATGATGAACTGTTGATCGCAAGTCAGGTTATTGAAAAATGTTCACAGAATCAAGAACAGGACCGGTGCTAGGGTCTCTGAGAGGAAGAGATGAACTAAGAGCTAGCCTAGAGTCCCAGAGTTATAGTCCTGGATGGGAGAACTACCCTCTTCACTCCTGGCTCTTTAAATTCTGGCCTGGGAAACAAGACGAGACTAGAATAGCAGCCCTCCCTTCTGTTCCTGGGCAGGGAAAACAGAACCAGAAGTGTTCAGACTGGGGAGAAAACAGATCCGTGGTGTTCAGCCAGTATCTTCCCTTTCCTCCATGAATTTACACGTAGGGGTAGAGGATGCCCACGGGTGGAGCCAAAGAGCATGAGAAAGTCCAGGATGGAACGGTCAGCTGAGCTCTCCTTCCTCCAAGCTGGCTAAAATCCCAAGAACAAACTTCCTTTGCTTTAGCTTAAAGCTACCCTACTTGGGGAGTACCTGGGATCGATCGGCTTTGTGCTCATCCCTCAGAGGCTTCAACTTCAAAACTCTTCCAAACTGTTTTCTTTTTTTGGCCCTGTTTGGGGCAGCGTGTAAATTAGGGCACCAGAGGGCGCTCTGCTACTTTCAAAGTTAAGCTGTCTCTTCCGAAGTCACAGTGGCTTAAGGCAATCATAGCGGTAGCCATAGCGTGCAAGGGATTGAGGGTCCCTGGGATTATTTAGTATAATCATAATGATGATCAGTTTCTGATCCGAAGCTCTGCGCTCTCCGTGTGCTGTCTGTATAAAGACCATTCGATAGACTGGTCGTGATCAGTTCTGTACCAGGCACTGGGGTGTTCTAGAGTGAACAAGTCTGATGGATTTCACTCTCACCATATAGGTCTCCATGCCCTCCCCAGACTCGCCAGCACCCCACTCAGCTTCACCTGGGGTCCCATCCATCCCTCTCCTCTTTGCCCTCTCCAGTGACATTTCTCATCTCCGTTCTGTTCTTCTCTTAGGATGAAGTCAAGCTGCCGGCCAAACTGAGTGTCAGCAAGTCTCTGAAAGAGTCGGAGGCGCTGCCGGAGAAGGAGGGTGACGAGCTGGGCGAGGGCGAGCGGCCCGAGGAGGACACCGCGGCGATCGAGCTGTCGTCCGATGAGGCGGTGGAGGTGGAGGAGGTGATCGAGGAGTCCCGCGCCGAGCGCATCAAGCGCAGCGGCCTGCGGCGCGTGGACGACATCAAGAAGGCCTTCTCCAAGGAGAAGATGGAGAAGACCAAGGTGCGCACGCGCGAGAACCTGGAGAAGACGCGCCTGAAGACCAAGGAGAACCTGGAGAAGACGCGGCACACGCTGGAGAAGCGCATGAACAAGCTGGGCACGCGCCTGGTGCCCGTGGAGCGACGCGAGAAGCTGAAGACCTCGCGCGACAAGCTGCGCAAGTCCTTCACGCCCGACCACGTGGTGTACGCTCGCTCCAAGACCGCCGTCTACAAGGTGCCGCCCTTCACCTTCCACGTCAAGAAGATCCGCGAGGGCGAGGTGGAGGTGCTGAAGGCCACCGAGATGGTGGAGGTGGGTCCCGATGACGACGAGGTTGGCGCGGAGCGCGGCGAGGCCACTGACCTGCTGCGCGGGAGCAGCCCCGACGTGAATACGCTGCTGGAGATCACCGAGGAGTCGGACGCCGTCCTGGTGGACAAGAGCGACAGCGACTGAGCAGGACTCGCGGGGCTCTGCCCTGGAGGCCGGCGCCTGACCCTGCCGCTTCCTGACCCCCACCCCTGCCCACCACCTTTCTCTTTTCATACTTTCTCTTTTGCATTCTAAGCCCCAGTCTGGTTGGGCATTTTGTTTTTTTTTTTTAAGCGGGGAATACACAGCCCCTGAAAGAGCAGCCCTCCAAAGCACAGGCCTTAGACCGAGGGGAGGTGGTCTCTCACCGAGGACGGCTGCAATTTGGACACAGTCTGGGTAGGATTCGGGAAGAATGACCCATGCCCTGGCTGTCCTGGTCCAGGATGCTTTTTCTTTTCTTTTCTTTTCTTTTTTTTTTTTTTTTTTTCAGGATGCTTTTTCTTAGCCCTCTCTTTAGGCCTTATGAGGGATCTACCTGCTCCTCGGCTCCTCCCCCAACACAGCTTCATACTCAGCCGCACCACCCTGCTTCTTGAGCTGTTTCTCCTTTTCCTCACCCTGGGAAACTCCAAAGCCAAGATTTCCGCAAGAGGAAAGAGCGAATCCTAAAGACAACCCTTGTAGGGGCAGCCTTCTAGGGCCAGCTTGCTCTCCCAGGTACCTGAGAGGCTGAGGCAGGAGACTTGCAAGTTCAAGGCCTTGTCTGGGCAGCAGAGTGAGCTCAAAGCCAACCTGAGTAATTTAGCCAGACGCTGTTTCAAAATAAGAAGAGGTGGCGGGAGTGTATCACTGATAGAGCCCTTGCTTAGAAGGAGGGGGCAGGCAATTCAAAGTATCACGAAGATGAAATGTGTGAAGGGAGACCTTTGCCCACACTAGAAGTGGCCCACTGGAAGGTCTGAGGGTCTTTGAAGGAACCTAAGGCAATAGGGTGGGGTAAAGTGTGACTCTGGATAAAGGTCCCACCAATAAGCAGGAGGCGAATAGAGCCTGGGAAAGGATGGTAGGTTGTGGGGAAAGGGGCACATTTACAAATCTATAAAATCTGCACACAGGAGCACGTGAGTGTGGCTTTGGGAAGAGAGAGGAAGATAGGAGAGAGTTGTAATGGAATGAGAAAGAAATGCCCTCATTAGCAACACAAAGGAATTCAAGACGAGAGTCCTGCTTTGGTAGGATCTCAGGACGGCAGGACAGTTTCTGGATCAGGAGAGCAGTCAGTTCTAGAAAATGTGTTCCAAAGAAAAGTAAGCCAGACTGGATTCTCTCTTTCACGATCTGGGAACTGCCTCCCGCGAAGCCTTGTTTTCCAAGCCCAGAAAATTGGGGTTCCAGCAGGGGGCAGCAGCGAGCTGTGGAGAGTTGGCAGTTAGGCAGGAGGGAGAAAGCAAGATGCTAAAAGGCCAGGCCCAGAGCAGAGTCCCTGGCTTGAAGCTGAGGAAGAAGGACCTGCTGGCTTGCCCAAACTCCCTCTCCGCTGCTTCTAGCATGGAATTCTCCCTAATGTAAAACTGTAGAACTTCCCAAGACCTCCCTAAATCCTTGCCTTTGGGGGCACCTTTTCCTGAAAGTTGGGGACAGTGGGGTGCTGCTTCTTGTCCAAGACCTGATCTCTATAGTTTCTGACCAGGTTTTCTCCTGAGGACACATTGGTTCCCTCTTTAAAGGCTGGTCAGAAGCAAAGGCAACACCTCCCCCAAATGACAGTTACAGGCTACTTCCTTCTCCCCACCAATGTGTCTTCCCTGCTTTTTAGACTTGCAGCTTATTGATATTTGGGGGGTGGGTATGGAAACCACAAACCTTTTATACAATACGAAGCTTTGCTTTTCATTTTTTATTTTTAATTTTCCTTTTTTTTTCTTGGTCCCATTCCCTCCTCCGAATGATTGGAGACAGAAGCTGAGGAGGGTGGGGAGTGTAGGATGAGGTCCCTTGTGCTGATGGGCTAACACTGTGGGCAGATGCAGTTTCCTGCATCTCTAGGGGAGCCCCTCGAGTTGCTGTGTTCTGGTGAGCAGCCGGACCAATAAACCTGCTTTTCTAAAAGGATTTGTGTGGGGTTATATTGTCCAAAGCAGTTGCTGAGGGTATCATAGGACTAAGGGAAATCAGGAGTGAAGGGGAAAGAAGAGGGAGAGAGAGGGAAGGAGGGAGGGAGAGAGGAAAGGAGGAAGGGAGAGGAAGGGAGGGAAGGAGAAGGGGAAGGAGGGAGGGAGAGAGGAAAGGAGGGAGGGAGAGAGAAGGAAGAAGGGAGAGGGAGAAGGAGGGAGGGAAAGAGGAAAGGAGGGAGGGAGAGAGAAGGGGAAAGAGGGAGGGAGAGAGGGAAGGACAGAGGGGGAGAGGGAAGGAGGGAGGGCATACATTTGTCTGGGTTTTTAGACTGGGACTCGGGTGCCAGGGGTAGATAACAATAGTCAAAATATTGGGCATTTTCTACTGGAACACTTCTTAACATTGTGTTGTACAATTGTTCATTTAACCTGGTAGTACTCTGAGGTAGATCCCATCATCACTTTCAGAGGAGAGGAAACGGGGACGTGTTTAAGGTCACACAGCAGGCAAGTGGCAGAACTATCTGACTGCACCAACTATTTAAAGGTTGAAGTTGGCAGTCTGGGTCCCACCTGGATCTACTTCCCCATGGCCAGGTGGTTGTCCTCCAGATGTTCCTCCACCCCAGTCATAGGCCTGGAGGAGGATGGGCATGAGAGGCTGCCCCAGAGGACCGCAGATAGAGAAAGAACAGGCATACATCTGCACAGTTGTACCCACACATCACTTTTCATTTTCCAGCAACCCTGCACTAAGCATCTATTTTGCTGTCTGGCCACCTCTCCTTGGACCAACTGTACCCTGCCTGCAAGTGATGAGTTTCCTGAAAAAATGGGGTTTTGTCATCCTGTGGGTTCTGACTGTCTCAGAATCTCAGGAAGGCTGTCCCTTGTAAAAGTAAGGCCATTTCTGGGGCTGCACCCCACCCTCATGCTACTACCTCAAACAGACTGAGTTCTTAGGAGCTGCACATACATTCCTCTGTGTGTGCCTCCAGCAGCAGAGTCCCCAAGGCTAGAATTCTAAGTCCTCCATAAAGGCCACTGAAAGAAATGGACACCGATACTGAAAATTCAGAGCCTCCCAACCATTCACGTTCCCATGTGCCAGGAGACACAAACCCAGGGTCTTGCTTGTGGATATAAATGCCGCTGTGAGGCAGGGACCAATACCAGCAGCCCAGGTATAATTGGATAACCCCCGAGATACCCAGCCATTCTCAATTTGCTCGCCCACCAGCTTTTCCTTTGTCTGTCATTAGCTCCTCTCTCCACCCTTCTCCTACTGGCATGTTCCTTCACTGTGCTGCTCTCACCCAATTCCAGTCTGGCCATTCTTCCTATGATGAGTATCCCTGACTCTCTGACTAGCCACGTTAATGGATACCATGGCACCCCATTCCCTCCTTTACCTCCCGCAAAGCCCAGAACCGGAGGGACTCCTTTCACTATAGTGAGACAGGGACAGCTGCTCGTGGGCTTTGGACTAAACATCCCACTGCCCACTAGAAGGAATGGATGATATTCCGAGGTCCATACCCACTTGGTATCTTCCACCAACCGGTCACTGGCATTAATGCCAACAGTTACACTGAGACAATCAAACAGGGAAACTGTCTGCCAAGGGGTCCTGTTAATGTCACCGTGGATCTATGAAGTCCCTTTACAGACTCAAACTGAGTTAGCAGGTCTCCTTATAACACCTTCCAAAGCCTTTTTATTTATTTATCTTTTTTAAAGGATTTATTTATTTTATACATATGAGTACACTGTTGCTGTCTTCAGACACACCAAAAGAGAAAGAACATCAGATCCTATTACAGATGGTTGTGACCACTATGTGTTTGCTGGGAATTGAACTAGGGACCTCCGGAAGAGCTATCAGTGTTCTTAACCTCTGAGCCTTCTCTTCAGCCCCCCATTTATTTATTCTTTATGAAATATTCAAGTCTTTGTTTGTTTGTTTGTTTTTAATGTTTGTGTATTCACATGTGCACGTGTGTGTGTGTGTGGGGGACTTGGGGATAACCCTTTGTACCATCCTCAGAAATCCTAGTCACTGGCCTGGGGCTCACTAGTCAGGCTCACCTAGAACCCACTACCTTCCCAGTGATGGGATTTTGAATGGACGTCACTATGGCAGGCATTTATGTGAACGCTGAGGCCTGAACTCAGGGCCTTGTGCTTAAAAAGCAAGCACTTACTGTTATTTTTTTTCTGCCCCCTTTTTGTTTTTATTTACTTTTTTGTTTGTTTTTGAGACAGCCTTGCTGTATGTATGTATGTATACCAGCAAGTTATTTCTTTACACACACACACACACACACACACACACACACAAGTTAAATACCTGGAAACTGCTGATAATACCCTTAAAACCCTGGCCCCTGCCTCAGTTTTTGCTGCTTCTCAACATGTTGAGGAAACTGCTGGGCAAAGATGAACCATTTTCAGGCATATGGGTCTCTGCTTGGGCTGTTCACCATCTCTGGAAGGGCATCTACATTTCCCTCTCCCTCTCCCTCTCCCTCCCTTCTTCCCTTCTTTCCTCCCTCCTTCCCTCCTTCCCTCCTTCCCTCCTTCCCTCCCTCCCTCCTTCCCTCCTTCCCTCCCTCCCTCCCTCCCT